CTGTATGCAGACTCTGTGATTTTTCCGAAGCTCCAATTTCCACGAAACTTGACTGAAATATTTCTAGAGTATTTTTCGAATTTATCCATATCTGACTTTGGGTTTTGAAACCTTTCATATATTTTAAAGATATTTTTAACCTTTTCCGGGATGTTAATTGACGAATTAAATACTTTTCAGAATCATGATGACTCCATATTTTTCCAATAAATAATTTTTTTATTATAAAATATTTTATAAAAATACTAAACTACTTTTTAATATCCGTCCGTAATTTCCACTGATTTTTTTTTTTCCATATTTAAAGGCTTATTGATTTTCCCCTCTCCACACGGGTTATATTTTTCAGTGAGAGTACATCCTTTATTCATAACTTTATTTTTTTTCAATTTCCGATGCATTCATATTGTCACCTTCAAACACTTTGTGCAAAACTCCTCAAATGACACAAGTAATCACGAAGGAGACATACATCCAACGCGAGTACTATGGGTCAGCAACTCTCCTCCTCAGATTTATTTCAAAATCGCCAGTCAGCACTCAGAATTTTTTTATGGATTCAATAAATTGAAATGAGACGGTTCGGTAAAGCCACATGAGGGATATGAACTTAAGATTCTACTCTCTTTGCACCATTATGTACCAGGATCACCGTTGTCTGGATATCGTTTCAATGTTATCGAAACGACATAAAAGAAATATAACAACCTCTGGAGCACTTCCTCAGGTTTCTGCTGGTTTTTAAATCACACAGTTTGGACCTGAGACGACGAAGTTCTGGGCCTTCAACTGAACTGTCCGTACCAACTCTAGACCAAGGCCCCAGAAGTTATGCACTTGCCCCTCCGACCATGGTGGATTCTTAGGTCCCGGGTTGACTTTGCGCAGAAAAATTTGTCTCACGATGCAGATGCGAATACAAAATACATACGCATGGGTGCCTCGTCGGGATGTAACTTTCGGACGAAAAATCATTCCGTTTGGAATCCGGACTAGGAAGTTATGGCCATCTGAGTGATCTTGCCCGAACTTGGCGCCAACAGACTTGCGAGTCACGAAGGCGCCGGCTGTTCCCCACCCACGAGACAGCGTCCGAACTTTATGTCTCCGATCTTCGCGAAATTTAATACCTGAGGAGGTCCCGGATAAACTAACGTTCGCCACTTGAAATCACTCCATTTTCTGATGTCTTTCAAAAGTTATACTCTTGCCCCCTCCGGCCCGGGTCAAGTCTTAGGTCCAAATAGAGCGCGCCCTGTAACGTTCGGAAATGACTCTCAGAGGCAAAACAAAATACATCCGCATGAGCGCCTCGTCAGAATCTAACGTTAAGAAAAAAAACCAGTCGATTTCCAGCCCGGAGTAGAAAGTTATGGCCTTCTGAGTGATCTGTCCCCATTTGGCGCTAGGAGACATCCGAGTCACCAAGGCGCCCGCTGGTCCCCCACCCAGGAGACAGCGCTCCAACATTTTGACTCCGATCTCCACGAAATTAAATAAGTAGGTAGATCCAGCCGAGACTAACGACACGCACTTGAAATCCCTCCATTTGGACTTGCCATTGAAACGTTATGCTCTTGCCCCCCTCCGACCCTGGTCAAGTCTTCGGTCCTGGTATGACCGCGCCTGTAACGTTCGGAAACGACTCTCATAGGGAAAAGAAAATACATATACGTGAGCGCCTTGTCAGGATCTAACGTTGGGAACAAAAACCAGTCGATTTCCAGTCCGGAGTAGAAAGTTATGGGCTTCGGAGTGATCCTCCCACACTGGGCGCTAGGAGACCTCAGAGTCACGAAGGCGCGGCTTGTTCCTCGTCGTCGGAACGGCGTCTCAGTGTTTCCGGTCCGTAATTCACGATTTTAAATATGTGACGAGACGGTGGCGGAGCAAAGAGACAGAAAAAAGAACGAGTCCGTTATCTGCTGCGGTTTGGAAGTTATTTTCATTCTGACTTTGATGTTCGAGACACTCGGACCTATGGCGCCGGATCGTCCGAGGCACGGGAACAGCGCTGGATGGATTTGACTCGGATGTCGACAAAATTAAATATGCAAAGAGGCGGCAAAGTAAATAACATCATGGAACAAGAATGAGAGGATTTCATCCGGCGGTTCGGACGATATGCTCATTCTTATGTCGGTGTCCCAGACACTCGGATCTCTGGCGCCCCGGTTGGCTCACCCACGAGACAGCGTCGGAACATATTATTCTCCGTCTCGAACGAAATTCAATTCATGAGTACGAATGCACGAGTCTGACACTATGCAGTTGTAATGACTGGATTTGCACAGGTAGTCTAAAAGTTATGGTGTTGCCCCCTCGGTCCTAGGTTCAGTCGTGGGTCCGGGGAGGAGTTGGGTCACTGAAGTTTGTTTAGCAGTGAGGACGGCGGAATAAAATATATCCGAGTGTGCACCTCGTTGAGACAGAGCGGCAGAACCAAAAATCAGGACATTTGGTGTCCGGACGAAGAAGTTATGGCCTTGGGAGTGAAGTC